AATATGCTTAAAATATGTCTCGCTTGGAGTAAACAAGCGAGTTACATAAGGGCATAGATTATTCATTGTACACGCCGTAGGTGAAAACGCCATTTTGTTTCCTCGCGTCTAATGTAAACATAAAAAATATTTTTTCAAAGCTTATTATGTGTTTTATTCGTAGAAAAAAATTCGCTCCTATCAGGCTTATAGTCTCGTCACAAAAAATTCGCGAATACCTATTTCGACGACATGGTATACATACTCCTTAAATCAGAGGCATCCATTTTATTAATGTCTTCGTATCTCGTAAACTACGAAAGATGTAGAAAAATGTTTCGAGTAAAAGTTGCACTGTTTCTGGAGCCTTGCAAATTGGAGGAAAAAAAATATTCGAAAACAATGTTTGCTAATAATTAACAGACCAGAAGCAATAATATAACTATCATTTGAGCTGTCTTTGAATATCTTATAATTTAAGAACTATATAGATAAAATGGATGGTTCTGATATAGGGGGTGGTTTTTACGTTAAAGTCGGGGATAAAATTCTACACAGTTTTCAAGTTCCATCAACAGTTAGTGCAAAACTTTTATCAAAACGAGTCGTGCACAGTCCACGATGCCAGACATCTTTGTTCCTGCGTGCACCAGTGTCCTCAAAGATGTCAACGGATTAAGTAGCGTACTACTACGTGCCCCTGCAATCGTTTACAATCCCGAAAGATCGTTCTCGAAGGATTAACTCATCGCCGTGTTCACTCGAAACACCGAAATCTCGTCTCGCAAAAATTCGCGGACCGGTTTGTCTCCTCCGCTCCACCTCCTCTCTTCGCCGCCCGTCTCCCTCCCTCAACGTCCGCGGATTCAGCCAATTCCCGTTTCGAGTCGACATGCATTTATGCCTGAATACAAAGTGCGAGAGTTCCCTAAAAAAGAAGAGGAAGAAAAGAGAGTGGAAAAAGGAGGAAGAAAAGGGAAACGTAGACTCTCCGTAAATCTTCCATGCGTGTAACTCTTCTGACGAGGAAGCCACGGCGCTCTCGTTGCGAGAGAGCCCCGGAGTTGTTTATGCTTTCCTGTGCAGCGCTTTCTGAAATATGCAAATCGCGAATTCGCATAATGGCGTTATCGCGGTAGGATGCCGCCGCCGCCGCCGCCGCCACCGTCGGCGACGACGTCGAGATAGCTGAATCCAGCGGGTCGAGCTCTTTCTTGACATCAAACGGCGACCGCCGTTGCCCGGGCCCCATTGATTTGTCCCTGAGAATAAACATCCAGTCGCGTTTCGTCCGCGCGATAAATATATGATCCGCGAATCTGACCGGGGATCGCTATGACTCACGGGGGCCTCCTTGCCCCATTCGAGCCGATCGACTCGATTAGTTCGCGGAAACCTGACGGTCCGATTAATCTCTTGGCCCAGGGCCCCTCCGATAGGCCCGCGATATTATTATCGATCCTCTGTCAACGGGTCTCCTAAGCTTTTTACCACTAGCTTATTAATATTTTTATTTCGAGCCTATTGAGTCAGGTGCAAAGTATACTATACACTTAAAGTAATTCGGTATTACATCGGATACAACATCTCTTAACCTATGATATTGCAAATGAAATGCTCCTTACGTTTCCCCAATGATCCACCATCTTAGATTGATACCAATTCTAATGTTTTTCGTCAGATGTCACTAATTGTCATGCAAGATAGTGGAGCAGAGAATTGTGGGTACGTTCATTATCTTTAGTATATTCAAAAGATAATCTAAACTGTTCGGCATGTCTGATGAAATTAATGTTAGATTATAGTGCGCGTGGCTTTTTTATTTTATTACGCGACAACGTTTCGCTAGAATCGTGACTGGTGGATACGCTCTTCCGCTTTCCCAGCTTAGGAATTGATGTGCATTGATCGTTAATACATCACGTTGACGTTTGCGTATCTACCGCGAAGCCGCGATTAAAGTCAGATTTTATTACAATGACGTAAACCGTGTAAAATTATATCGATCCGTGACACATGAGGCTTAAAACGACGCGTTTCACTACCGTACGTTCTCTGTACCGCCGGCAGCCACGTCTTGCACGTCACGTTCATTTACATTTGCCAGACGGACAGGCAGACGAATAAATTATTCGCTTCTGTATCAATTATGCATGTGATCCGGGTGCAATGGCGGCGGACGTTTTTTCAATAAATCGTTGGCGCGAGTCTCTACGATATTGTTTGGAACATCGAAAGACCTAAGGGTCACTGCTCGAACCAATAAGATATTTGAGGTTATCGCGGCCAGGACTCTCACAATTGATGCTGTTAGAAGCTTACGAGTGATACACCATGGCTTTTTAAGGATATCAGTAGCATTATAGGCAGTGGCGAATACAAAGTTGAGATTCTAATCATTCACCGACCATCGAAACTTTAATATCCCCATTTCTAGGGAATTCTAGGGAGCATTGAATTATTTTAACTAGGTACACGTTGAATTCAGAATTTGGTAAACGGATGTACGTGTTCTTATTAACTTCTTGGACCAGAATATTACTCTTGATCGTATCTAGTAATTCACTCATGTTTCTCTGTGAGAGATGCAATCTCTTGAGTCTAGTGTAAGTTACTTCCAAAGTCCTCGTTGCTCAAATCAGGGCCCAGCACTCTAATCTATTGGCTCGCTAAGACCTGTGGCCATTTGATTAACCCCTTGACCCTAACGGTATCAACAGCATTCAGTAGTTTAACGATGCTTTCTCCGGTAAGAATACCCATAGACATGAAACTCGACCAGATGATAACAAAGTGACGAACCTCCAGGAACTATAATTACCAGATTCGACGACACGGTCGGAAAACAGAAAAAACCAGAACTTGTACTCATTATACCTGTTCGATTCAAGCAATTGTACCCGGCACATTAATTTTGTGAGGAGTCAGAGACAGGACAAGCCGAGTGAAAGAGAGAGAGAGAAAGGAAAAGAATCAGGAAGGAAGAAAGAGCGACGCGCGCTGGAACGTATACGCGGTTTATTATTATTTTATTCGGATGTTCTTCGTCGCGTTATACCTCATAACCCACCCTCTTCCCTACACCTTTTCCTGTAACACCGTCTACGCGGTCTCTCCCGCCACCATCGTTCCAGGCTCGCCCCCACCGGCAAGAGAAGAGACCACCCCTCGCCGTTCCACACTCGCTCGTTGCAGTCAAGTCGTAATCCCCCTTTCGCTAGGTCCTTAACAGCCAGGGCAGGGCCCGACGGAGACCAGCGACAGGAACGTTAAAATTTAAGGTTTCCGTCGACACGTTGCGACCCATAAATTTCCTCGCTCGAAACCGCTACGGCTGACAAATCGCCAGCACACCCCAGCGAAAAATCCACTTGGACTTTCTACTGGTCTCTACTTTTCTAATGCCTATCCTTTCTACTCATCTTACCCGTGATATGTCTGTTTTATTGATATTCCTCCGCGAAAAAGTATTAAATAACATTTCCGTAGAGCATCGAACAAATTTATTAAAACCGAAAAACGAATATTTAAGAAAAATCGACAGGGGGTGGGTACCTACATTTTTCAGCGAAAAAAAAATTTTCAAATCATTCTGGAAAAATTATTTCCAATTGCGGGGGTCAATTACAATCATTTTTCGTGAATAGGCATACCCCCGAAACCCTACGCACTTTCGAGAAAAAAATTGTTTTTTTGCGACATTTCATTGCACTTCCATCTACGTCAAAACGTTCAAGTTTGTCGTGAAATAGTTCGTTATTTTCGACGCTAGATGCAATTGCTAGCCGTTGAACGCTAACAAATACAGTTCTTTAGAAGATCTGGAGAACTCTACCTTTATTCTTATTATTAATTAAACAAACTTTTCGTATTCATATCCTAGCAAAAAACAAAAACATTAACATTCACTTTTCTAACATAAACCCTAACTTTAAACCTTTAATCGGTAATATAGAGCGCAACCCTCGCCACAGGAACCGCACCTGTCGCCACAAACGTTGTCCACAATTGGTGATAATATCTATAGTTGGCAATAACTGTCCGCGACCAGCAATGTTATCCACAGTCGGCAGTGCCGCCCGCAACCGGTAATGTTGTCTACAGTCGGTAATGTAGAGCGCCTCTGTCACCATACAGATCTACTCGTATACCTCGTCTGTGCTTTCACCTTATGGACTTTCATCACAGACGAAGTATACCTCGCAGCCATTAGCTCATATTATTTGCTATGTAATTAATGATTATATTAATATTAATTACATAGTAAATAATAATCCCCTGGTCTCACCGCGTGGAGGTGCGAATGAAGACCCACCCTAGCTTCGCCCCAACCACCCTTCCTTTGGCGAGGAATACGAATACCTCTCTAAGAGAGAAGCTATCAAAAAGTTAGAAATGAACTGCAAAAATCGAGTTCTTCAAAGAACTGCCCAATGAAGGGACGAAGAACCTAACGAAATGTCAATACATGTGAAATGATACACATGTTTTCTAGAAACGAAATTGAAATGTACAACTGCACGTATGAACTCTGATAATCCAGCACATATTCATGTTTCATAAGGTGTAAGACCTACTCGTATACCTTGTCCGTGCTGTCGCCACGCGGCGTCATTTTATGATCGATAAGACAGGAAATAAAAAAGAGAACTATTGTCTGAGTTATATCTAAGAAATGTCCATATCTCATGACGACAACCAGTATTGTTATTACAAAGAAATAAATCTAACTGTTATTTCCTGGTCCTACTGCACCATATATTTCACATTTTTACGTCCGATTATGTTAGAATTCACGTTTGTTCCTGTATATTTAACAAGGTTTCCTACGTTTAAACTATTTCTGACCAAAAATTCCGACACTGTTTGCTGGTCAACTCAACGTAAACTTGTACAGATTAAATTACTGAGCTTTTTTTCAAGTTTTTTTGTATATCTCGAAGAATAATCGACCCTGGAGGATCGATATATCGCATCACCGTTTGCTCGGTCGCGACTAACTTCAGAGCTGTTGTGAACAATGGCGACGTTTCGACGAAAGTGACATTCTAACGGACAAATGTGTTTTTACACGTTAACGTTAATCTTCTTTTCTAGGTAATTAATTACGCTCGTTAGGTGTTAGTCCGGTAGCATCTGTGTTTTACGATGGCTTTGAACGCGAACGCGTTGTCCAGTGACATAAGCCGAAGAAATCCACAGGATGAGTACGAGCTCATTCAGAGGATAGGTAGTGGAACGTACGGAGATGTTTACAAGGTTCGTAGTCCCCGCGGTTTTCGTAATAATAATCGTACATGTTGTATATTTGCGTCGTTGCATTTATTTTCGCAGGCCAAAAGACTTTCCATGAATGACCTCGCGGCTATTAAGGTTATCAAGTTGGAACCAGGTAAACTCTTCCAAGTTTTTCTCTCTCTTTTTTGGGGAACGTTTCACCTTTTTTCATTCATCAAGGATATCGCTTTAAGCATCTTCGATACGCACGGCGCGCATCGTTCTCGATACTCGTTTAACGGCTCGATCATTTAAACGGGTTGAATTTAAATGCCCTTTATTCTGTCCCTCGTGATCGTGTTCCATCTTCTTTACTTTCTCGCGTTTACTTCTCTCTGCGTGACAAATACGCATTCTTGAGGCATGCTAAGATCCCACCTGTTTCGATCTTAAGTCCCAATGCGACAGGTTTAAAAATCAGAAACAAGTCGATAGGCTTTTTTTGCGGCGAATGATTATAAAACGATTGTATGAATCGTGTAAACGGACATACCCTAAACTTAGGTTAGGTTAGGTTTTGGATCGTTGTATAAACGGATCACGAAATCTTCGTTTATAAGTCCCAGGGAGTCAAGAAAAGTACATAATTTTGATGCTGCAATTAAATATTGATAAAAAATAAATGAGAATAATTTTTTTTGTTCCAATGGAACAATTGTAAAATTCGGGGCTTGAGTAGAGGGTTTGATACAAAAAAAAAAATATATATATGTATATATATTACGTTTTCGTGCAATTAAGACGAAATACATATATAGGTTTTTCATTGACATGTCATAGTACATGTCATCATGCAAATAATTGTTGTAAAGTAGGGTATGCCTATAGTTTTGTTTACTTTGAGGTCATGGACTGTGTGTATATATGTAGAGTGAAATGTATAGTAATACAAAGCTGAAAAGTTTACAGAATGAAGCTTTGACATAATTTCTTGGTATTTCTTCTATTGATAATTAGAATGTTAGTTGTTTAAATGTTTCAGGGGACGATTTTGCAATTATTGAGCAGGAAATTTTGATGATGAAAGATTGCAGGCACCCTAACATAATTGCATATTATAAAAGTTACTTGAGAAGAGATAAATTATGGATTTGTATGGAATATTGTGGAGGTGGTTCCCTGCAAGATATATATTTCAGTATGTCTCACATTCTTGTATCAATTTCTTTTCTATATTTAACATATAATCTATTATTTCTTTGCAAAGATATTTATGGAACCGCATTCATAAAGTATACATTACAGCACTAAAAACTTTATGATAAAACATAAGAGTTTTAATAATATTATAGTAACTGGACCATTGTCAGAAATACAAATATCATACATGTGTCGTGAGACACTGCTGGGATTGGCTTACTTACATAGTATGGGGAAAATGCATCGTGACGTTAAAGGTGCCAATATATTATTGACCGAAGCCGGTGATGTCAAGCTAGCTGACTTTGGGGTATCTGCACAAATAACTGCAACCATCAATAAGAGGAAAAGTTTCATTGGCACACCTTATTGGATGGCACCAGAGGTACTTCTACTCACCTGAATAATGTTCCATCTATTGTGTTGTGCGTTTCGGGGCATACAGACAGTTTCACTTTTATATTTCATAGGTTGCAGCTGTAGAAAGAAAAGGGGGTTATAATCAGCTTTGTGATATTTGGTCGTGCGGCATTACTGCGATAGAATTAGCGGAACTGCAACCGCCTATGTTTGATTTACATCCGATGCGAGCTCTTTTTCTCATGTCTAAGTCCGGCTTCAAGCCACCGACGTTGAAAGATCGAGACAAATGGAGCCCGACATTCCACAATTTTGTCAAAGTCGCGCTAACGAAAAACCCTAAAAAACGGCCGACGGCCGAGAAATTATTGCAGGTTAGTTTTCTCGTCGCACGAATTTCACAGATGCTGCATCGACGAACTGGCGTTACCATATAGGCGAAAATTTTAAACGAAAACTATTATTCCAGCACGCGTTTTTTCAAGGCGAAATGAGCAAACGTTTAGTTTTGGAATTGTTGCAAAAGGTATCGAATCCTAGTCATATGTTTACTGATTTAGAAACTGATGAAGATGGAGCTGTACCTAATGTCCCGCAAAGGATCGCATCGCGTCATACTGCGAGACCTAGACCAAAAAGCCCCCTACCACAATTAGATGGCGACGGTAAGGGACAATATGGTCTCCTTTCGTGCTTTTAAATCGAGATATCTCGCGAATCGATATCGTTTAACTTCGATATAATATCGAACCCTCTAGACAGGGGGGAAGGCCCTCAATATACTCCATATCATTGGGGGGAAATACAGACAGTTTAGCAGGTACTTTCTGTATAGTACCTAAGATAAAAAGCATGCTTTATAAACAAAGTACCCTTTCTTAATTAGTGCCTAATATCAGAAAACGTCGAGTCGCGAGATATCTCGTCAACGAGCGCAAAACAATTAAACATAAATTCTACACGCATTGCAGATCAAATTAATCTCGATGGAACATTGCAAAGAGATTCGATATCGCCATCTGTGGACACTAGTCCAGCATGGGATATTATGGATATCATGAATAACGTCAAGGTAATTCGTGGCTTTCAAACACTTCCGGCGATAATCGATAATCGATAGTCGAAAGTTCCGCCATTACGATCGATCGAACTTCAGACATTTTTAAACGTTTGAAATTTAATTTTCGAATCTATGCGTGTTTAGGCTGTTCATAACTGTGATGTACATCCGGACTGTGGTATCGGCACTGCGTTCGAAGACGTGCAAGAAAAGTAAGTGGTCTCAGAGAAAATACCAATTTTGTTACATATAGTTAAGATTAATCTAAAACGTGGGGAGGGTTGATGCTTTAAGGTCCTTCCACTAATATGGTAATTGCTGTTTCGCTAACGATCGTTTAGACGAGGTAAATTGAGTTTACCTCACCAAGAAAATTTCGTAATTGATTGTACAGCTTAGAACAGCGTGTATAGCGAAACAGTAATTTTATGCTGAGCATTGTTAAGTTGCATACGGCACGTCTGCTTCCGCTTTTGCATACGTTGCATCAGTAATAATTATTAATAAATAGGAGACTATGTTTCCCTTCCTAAAGGCGCAACCTTTGGCCGTGTAAAAAAGAGTAATTAAACTGCATTGATGCTATAGAACAAAATCCAATTAGCTAATCCATCATTAATTCATGAACCCGTATGGTTCGAGCGGAAACGTTTTATTCCGTTCTAAATTCTACGTTTCCTAGACATGATATAGTTTATTTCTGTATCAGTACTGTTGGCGCTAACGTCACAACAGATAGTAGACAGTCACGTCGAAGCAAAACAGGCACAGAAATATTTCATATGAGTTTAAGGTAATGCATACAATGCAGGTAGTTTGGTGTGAAGATGTTGTAGTACAATTTTTAAATTTTACCCAGCGAAATTAACGTTTTACTGCATTTATATGTAACTGCGAAACCGTAAACGGAATGGACTGATTTCTATCCGATTTAGAATAATTTATAACTTGTTCAACGGATATTTCCTAGTGTTTTGAGTAGGCGTGTGCGTGTGACTGCATGGTATTTTGTTTGCTGGCATAGAATATGATTAAACACTACAGAGCACCATTCGTTCATATTATGTTTTGCGGATGAATATGTAAATAGGCAAATACTGCTTTTTTTTTTGTTACTTTATATGTGCATGTGTTACGTTATTAATTATACGGAGTGAGACATTTTAGATCATCCGAATAACTCATTTGCGTTGATTTGAAAGCACGAGTTCGACGACCTGTGAGTTATTCAGGTGTCTTGTACTAAACGTCTTACACGAAAGTATCTTAACTTAATTAGGTGAGACTTTTCTCTTTATATTTATTTTATTTCAACAAGCACTTCAACAATGGGCAAACAAAAATCCATTTTACGCGATGCAACGTCGTTCACGAATGATAATTAAATGTTTTTATTTCTCATTTGTGTTGTGAAAGTTTTATCCTTTGTTAAGGTGCATATGTTTCGCGTAACATACTATAAATGTGCATGCTTGAAATAAAAGTTCAAAAAGGTCTTGATCTGTACACTGCACCTGCTCCGTAAGTATATTATTTATTTTGTTTGATACGCTTAATGTATTCCCCGTATAAAGATCTTTTTGAATTGATACATTTATCATTTTTAGCGTTCGCTAAAATGTTACATATCCGGTAAAAAAATATTCCTCGAAATTTCTCAAAAGCTGAATAACAATTACTGTCGATTATACGTGTACCGGATGTGGCACATGCCTCAAGATATATTTTATTAAATTTTAAAGGACATGTTTTCACGCTTGAATGTCGTTTATATGGAATGAAAATTCAAGTATATTTTACATGGAACATCATTAAATCGTAATCTTGAAATAGTGCAGTATCTTGACATAGTTATTACTCAATACTTATATTACGTCTAACACTTACGTACAGATTTAATTTCACAAACTTGTTTCTATGTTAATTCTTTGTAGCATTAATTTCTCTGATCAGTTTGTAATTTTAATAATTTCTCCCAACAGGAGTCTATTGCAGTACATTGATGAGGAGTTGTTGCTAAGGTATTGGCAGGTAACCCTTTTCCCTTGCACCTTGCACCTTGCACTTATACTTCCTAATGCTGTGCATTAAACTTCTTACTTTTTCTTACTGCAGCTTCTTATTAATTTGTTGATCGATCTCCCGACGTCTTTTAACATATTTTCGTTTGCATTACAGTAAGAGCATTTGATTTAATATGATTTGTTTATACTATTTTGCATCTTGTGTTTCATTACTTCCCATTAATCAATTATTATTTACCCCCCCCCCTAAAATGTCTGTTACAACATTAATATTATATACCATATATATGTGAATAGCGTTTATGTAAGAGTTCATATTTTCGGAATATGCTTCGTTCTTAGATAGGTGCTCTTAATGTAGTTCATTGCATGTGAGTTTTTCTTAGAGAACTCGTTTTTAAACTTGCTGACCATATTGGTGGTGGAAATTCGTGTACCTATTACAGAGATTACGATTTTAAATATACACATGATACTTGTACCACGATCGTACGATTCCTATGATCGGGTACAATAAATGCAAGTGAAATAATACCATTAAGAATAGATGTTAATGAACGTAATTAATCTCTGTTGACGTTTATATTTACGATTTCGCGTGTCGTCTTCTCGCGATAACATTTTAAACTAATTATAAATTAATTTTTCATTGAATAATCGAACACTTGTGCGTCCTTTAAAAAATACAAGAGGATTATTTTGTAGAATCGAATCAGCGAGAAACTCGACAAAAGTAGTAAGAAAAAGAAATGTATAATCGTTTTATAGTATATGATTATAGTTTCATATGTGCAGGGGGAATGCAATGTCGATGGTTGGTGGGCATTGCGACCAGCTATATTCCCTGCAGTAAGTAAATGACAAAATGTAATAGTAGACTGTTTTACCTTTGGTTGTAGATTACGATTTCAATTGTTTTTCGTTACTTTCGTTTTAAAGTAACAAATGGGCTTCTATTTTAAAAATAATTTATCAGTAATGTACAGTCGAGTCTGGCTTTAAACAATCCATCGAAAGAACACTAATTATACACCAGCAGCTTTCTGTAATATATTGCCAGTCAGATAAGCAATACGATTAACAAATACGTAAGGTGATATGTGAAAATGTATTAACATAAACAATATTCTGTATTCCTTAAAATTTTTAAACAATACGGTTATTGCGTGCGTAGTTTCACTTGCATGGGAATATTTTTTAAACAGACAAAGGTAATTTTATTTGTACATATCGTAGAATATTATTTTTAAGAGCAATTTCGTTTTACAGTTTTGAAGTTTTCCCATGAAGTGTGCTTATTAGTAAATATCCCCTACATTTGAACAATATAATACGTCTCATTCGGTAATACTACTTGCTTAAACGTTTCGTTTTTTTCAATGCAACACCTTCTACAACATTTTATGCTCAAGTGCTTAATAAACAGTACATTACAACCAGATGTGGGCAAATTTTAGTTGAAAATATTTATAAGCTTTTAACAAAGCACATAGTATTTTTCTTTTATTTTTAGCCATAGAATATGCTAGCAAATCTGTTGGACTCCCTGTATATTTGTAATTTATTTGTATATTTCAATCCATAGTTGTATATGATGAAGATGGATATGCAAAATATCAATGAGATATATTTCCTAAATCGCCTTTAATGGTATAATTTGTAATTTATTTAAACATGTCAGATAATTCCAAGATTATTTCATGAAATAAGTGCCCAGGTCTGATTACAATTTCGCAAACCCACACTATAATAACATTACTAATAACAATATCATGTGCTCCCCCTAATCGTACAATCATAATGAATTTACATGCATTCGTTTCATCCAAAGATACAGCTTCTTTACTCTCTGACATGTTACTTCAATCACATATTCTTTTCTTCTAATAATCAATGCCAGTGTTCAAAGGTTTCACATGGAATAATAAACATAAGCTTTTAACCCTTTTGCTCCGGCATGCTCGTAATAAAATATGATCTCTGCGAACGGAAGTCGCGTAGCTGACGATCGATGCGAGCATACAGAGTGCATAAGATATCATTTGAAATATTTTCTAGAGCAACACCTTCGTTTTCTTACTCGTTCCTTAGTGTAAATCACCAAGGAACTTCGACTTGCGTTATTTTTACACGATCATACTCTTTTTGGGCTACATACACATACATACGTTCCTCGGAGCGAAAGGCTTAACTCCCAGCTAAATATTATCATTGATACGTATTCTCCATTTCATTATTCACGCATTACCAGTAATCTACTAACCCTAGTAGCACACGTGTTTTGACAAAAAGTTTCTAATAACAGTTTCCCCCTCTATATTACGTGTTAATGTTCGTAAATTTTGTTCCAGAGCTACGCTTCCTCTTGGGGAGTCATCGAATGATTGCGAAGTGCACTGCCCATACTATAATATGTCAGGTAGGGAGTCTATCTTCAAAGCAATGCTTATACTCATCGTATTAGAACGTGTACACATAGCACATTTCCTTCAAGACTTCCATACCAAACTGGAACATTGACTACAGTAGAATAACAAGCCTGTGTGGCCAAAATAACGTAATGGGGGATAAAATTCGGTCAATAAGCGAGGGAATATTGCATGTATACATTGAATGTTATAGAATGCAATTTTTAATCGAATAATGCGAACGATATGGAAGTTTTGAAGCGTTAGAACATATGTGGCTGTAGAATAAACAGTAGATTCGGTACTTAGGATCTCAAGCAAGTCCCAGGCGTCACAGCTCTGTGGACGAGTTGTATGGTCTGGTGAGCAGTAACCAGTCCTTAGCTGCTGTCAATGGACAACGTCAACGGTCTCTCTCGGACAGTGGTCCCAGAGACGAATCCCCACAGTCTAATGGTAGGAACATGCTGATCTAAAGCTAGATTTATGGGACAGTTATCCTGTACCTATACCCACTGAAGTTTTCTTCCCCTCTCACATTGGGGCCTTTTGCAATATTCCTCAGAATTAGTTAAATCAATCCATTCTAATCCAAACACTGACATGAGACGAGAATAACATTGACTGCTACTTCATCTATTAAAATACAACGATTAGGTTCATTTGACACGTTGACTGCCACGTCCCTTGAATACGAAAATAACAATCAAAGAATTGCACGTACCAATTGCAGTTAGAGTATTAGCATTCTCCTATCGGTTCTTTAACGGTACATCTAAATTTTGTATGAATTTAGTTAAAACTTTGGAAACGAGAATAGTTTATGAAGAATGTTTAAAAATGAACGTGAAAATGTTAAATTGACAATTGTAAACTCGTAAGAAATTTCTTAATATTGATGGAACATAAAGTCGAAATTTTAGAAGTTGCATGTTATTTTAACGCGTACGCGTTGCGCGTTACGTTCGTCTATACATATTCCCCTGTGAGAAGAATTTAAGATTAGATTACCAGGCATTGAGTACACATGGGGTAGGACGACCAATTGCAGTCAATCGTTTCATTAAATCATCCATGCGTCGCGGTCAGAAACCTGTAGCCTGATAGGACTCGAGCGCGAATTTAATATGGCAGTTAACGTTTTAAATAAATGTATATCATCAAATAGTAATTACTCTCTCATTAATTTATCGAGAAGACAAAATAAATTTTAATTTTTTTCTTAGTAAATGAGTACTTTGTTTAGGTCAAAACGAGGTGCCAGGCGACGGAGACGGCGAAAGTATGAGTCCAGACTTATTATCCGACACTCCACCTGTTCCTCCAAGACGAAGGGATAGGAAACGTCATACTCCTCCCAGGCCTATCAGCAACGGACTGCCGCCCACGCCCAAAGTTCATATGGGGGCGTGTTTCTCAAAAGTTAGTATCAACTCGAGTGACTTTAAATTGAATCAATAACCGATTTGGAGACTGGGTAAAAGAAAATCGTTTGTGTTTAGGTATTCAATGGCTGCCCACTGAGAATACACTGTACCGCAAGTTGGATTCATCCGGATACGAGGGATCAGCACTTGCTGATTGCGGCGGAAGAAGGGATCTACAACTTGAACCTAAACGAACTCCACGAAACTGCGATAGATCAGCTGTATCCAAGACGCACGATTTGGATGTACGTGATCAAGGATGTCCTCATGTCCCTGTCTGGTAAGCAATTACTAATTAACCGCTAATGGCGTGCAGACCGCATGTGAAAACGAGTAAATTTTCAGGGAAAACTCCTCAATTATATAGACACGATTTATTAGCAATGCAAAGCAAACAGAGCCACAGGTTTTCATTGCATATGAACAAAATACCTGAGAGATTAGTACCTAGGAAATTTGCTCTTACTACTAAAGTACCAGACACGAAGGGTTGCACTAAATGTTGCGTCGGAAGAAACCCTTATAACGGGTGAGTGAACAAATAAATCTTTCTGTGAAAAGTTGCATCGCTCGTGGGGAATATGGTAACAGTTAGGTGTATTCAATATAGGTACAAATACCTCTGCGGTGCAATGCCAACAGGGATATTTTTAATGCAATGGTACGATCCTCTAAATAAGTTTATGCTCCTGAAGCATTTCGATTGCACACTACCGTCGCCGTTGAATGTATTCGAGACTATTATCACTCCTGAAATGGAGTATCCGATGGTCTGTGTGTCCGTGAAACAACCATATCAGCAAAACAAATTGAAGCTGGATCTCATTAATATGAATTCAGGGGCTAGTTGGTTTCACAGTGACGAACTGGAAGACATGGATGGTTCAGGTACCGTTTATATTCGGTTCTCTCCATCGCGGGGTCACGCCATTAAATCGCGCATTGAAAATGTAACCGGAAATCCTTGTTTTAGCTACTGTGATACCAAGAAGGGAGAACCTTCACGTTATCAATGTTACGCAGTTAGAAAAAAATGCAATATTAGTGTGTTACGACAGTAAGTATATAGTAGGGACAAACATCGTTTGAATTTGTGATTTATATTTTGTTATTGCGCGTTGCAGATGTAGTGAAAGTGGTGTCGTTGCAAGGGAAACCTAGATCGACTAGAAAACACATGTCAGAATTACATTTTAACTTTCATATCGAATCCATCAGTAAGTTCGTTCGAAATTAACTCTTCCATTATAAAAAATAATTCTCGTTCACGATTTATTTATTCTGCCTTCAGTTTGCTTACCGGATAGTGTACTAGCATTCCATAAGCACGGTATGCAAGGTAGGAGTTTTAAGAATGGCGAAGTTACGCAAGAAATCAGCGATCCAAGCAGAACGTACAGATTACTTGGATCGGACAAGTACGTATTTGTTTTATTTTATTGCCAGCAATGTTTTCACAGTCCCTCGTTCTCTCTAAACGAAAGTAATGGTGATCAGTGATTTTAGAAGTGGACTCAAACTTAATTTGGTCGCTTGCGAAGACCAACGAATAGACCGTGAGTTTGATCGAAACTTGAATTTGCGTTTGTTCACAGAGTTGTGATGCTAGAGAGCCATTTGGTTCAATCGGGAACACTGACCGAATCAGAGGGGGCAGACTTGTACATACTAGCTGGACACGAGGCCAGTTACTAAATTTCATCTTTCAACTGTAAATCTGCAGACGTAATGTGACCCGCAAGTGAATTGTGACTCGCGCGGACTGCATTGTAAAGTAAAATGTGACTGTACTGAGAGGCAGTGGTTGACGTTGGTAAGAGAAATTGTTAATTATCCTGTTTAAAAGTGCACACGAATGAAAAGAAAAAAAAAAAAAAAAGAAAAAAATTAATTACCGACGTACATCAGCGTACACATCATTGTCACTGTTCTCCATATAGTTAATGCTACATAGACTGGTTATTTACCGAGAACTTTTTAACGAATACAGATTTAGAATTAGTGATCGATATTAAATGAGAGAGATAGATAACAGTGGAACAGAATATTGAGATGAACCGTGAATATATTCGAAATGATATGTAAATTTGCCCTCATGCCTGACAAAATAAAACTTATACCGATCGAATCTTCTGGCGAAAAGAAAAAGAAAAAAAAAGAAACATTCGACGCTATCGTAAAAATTTGTATTTTCTCGTTTTAACGTAAAATTATATAGAGGATGTTTCGAAACGAATGTTAGTTCTGACGTAGCAACGTAGTAAATTATAGACACGAGACTTGATTTTAAAAATTCTTTCCACCTTTCGATTCATCTTATTACATTTACGGGTTTGATACTCGAGAACCATGCATATGCATCACATTTACGGGTAGATATACGGATACTTATATTTTTCGAATGATTTTTAGATCGTATCGTGATAACGTGAAATCCCGACATCTTGGATGTGAATTAATTCTATTGCCGTAAGCTTCTTATCGGAACTTTGTATGACTCGTGTAAGGTATTGGCCAAAGGTAGTTTAAGTAGATTAATATATTTCAAACATTGAACAGCAACAGATACAACGATTTAAATACAAATTAGTTTACCGAATATAGAAAATTCTAATACCTAACGAATTGTCTAGCGAATATATATCTTTCTTCCGCGAAATACGAACGAAAATTGAAATCTCGCGCGTACGGTGAAACGTATTTCCGTTCTTTTGTATAAGTTTTGCTTTGGTAGGCATTGGGCTGTTGCATCAAAGTTATTTTAATAAGACATTGCGTTCATCAGTGTCTCTAATTTTGGACGATTGTACTACGAAGATACAGTATAAATTGCAAAGTAGTTTATGATGGCAATCATAAATTATTTATTTTAAGAGGTATATACGGAAAGGCTTAGCAGTTAATTCGTTCGAACAAATCCAAGACGATCGTTTTACTGAGTACATAAAACTGTTTTAACTATGTACAACGTGGAATGTTTTACTTTACATAATTAATTATCAAATGACGTTGATAATCGAACCTGGCAAGAGTTAACAGTCGCAATAGAATCCTCCCGTTTGTTTAATTTCCTTTCTTTTAAAAACGTATGCCTTCAGTGGATATATATATAACACGGATTAACAAAAATTCTTTTTTATTGTACAAGTACAATCCACGCCCAAAAGTTTATTTCCATAATCGAAACGCGAATATCGATGGAAATATGGTATCTCGCTTCCGTGAGATAATATGGAAAATATGTGGATTTTTACGATTGGTTTTTAAGACTGGGAGATATGCGAAAGACTTTCTTAATATACACGAACGATGTATTCGGGAGGAAGAGTGCTGGATGAATAGAATTTAAGTGGAAACGTTGATGCGAAAATTGAATTAAATATTTTCTAATTTACGGTTCGTTTTATAAAATTAACTCGTTTTTAATAGTTGAATTTTTTAATTTTATTCGCAACGGATGGCGCAGTATTTTGCAACCCGTAACATTAGAGGTTTATCGGCGATTCGATTGAAATTAGTATTAAACCTATACTATGTGATATATTTCTGTAATTTCTTTATGTAATTAATACAGAAACAAGTAATTATTCTGCTATGTTACCTATTACATGCAGTATGTAATATAGCTGATGTTTCTATTTAACGTCCGTCTAAAAGGAACATCATTCGTATAAAAACTATTATAAATATAATACGAAAGTAACATTTTTTTATTATTATTTATCTAGAAAATGGCTACATCGTTTATGTAATTAAATAATACTCATTTATTATACGTTTCTGTTGTGGTATCGTATATTAAAATAAATGTCAGGTTGACCAATTTTAATAAAACCTTAACTAATACAAGTAGAAAACTATATACATTTTGCATGCAGCAAGTAGCATAAAATAAAAGACACGTCAACGTTAAATATTTATTATAGTTTATGATTAACATTGCTCGTCCGTTATATTAAATTTAAAAGGACACTTTCAAAATTTTAATTCTTAGATTTTGTTTCTGTATTTAATTCATATTTTTATTGGCATATATATACATACATATATATATATACCGATTAACAATTTAAAGACATTACAATTACCAGGAACATAATTTATGCGTGTACGTTTATATTTAAAAAAATACGATCGGATGTTAGTAACATTTAAACAAATATGACGAATCTGTAAAGGATCAATAGAAACAATGAACAGTATTTCGTAAAAAGTACATTTAGGATATTAATCCTTTTTAGTACATTGAACGTAAAATAATATTTAAAAATGAAATCACACATGTATCTAAAGGAAAGTATTTGGTGTTGAGATTTTAAGTAGTTAACGATAACAATTTTAAAAGTGCTTTTTCGCGTAGCTCGAATTCCGTTAGAGTAATGGTAATTTATATATTTTACTGTTAGCGTCAAATAATAAGACTATTTGAATTTAATGTCGGTCAAGGATAAGTGTAGATCGTTCGACACTCGTAATCAGGCCTTTTGATAATTAAGAATTTGAAAAATATGGATAATTAAATAGGCGAGAAATTTGAAGGGGTGTATTAAATATTTGTTGCGCGTAAAGCTGATTACGGTAGACAATTATTTTTTAAAAATTGTATTCGATTAATTGCATTCGAACTTATCAGTGTCCTTTAGATGCGAATTAGTAAATTTAACGAGTATCTGGCACTTTTCCATCCATTGTCGATACATTGGTATCTCGCAAATCAAAATTGATCGATTTGCAACAGCACGAACGAAAATGTAATTTGAACTAGGAAGGATTGACAGAGTAAAATTATCTTGGAAATGTTGAGATATTTTAGTATTTTATACGAAGTTTTGCTCTGTAAATAGAAAGTAGGTTACTAAAGAAAGTATTATGCTATTAAAGGTTTACTATAATAGTATCATATTTGACTGCTTATTGTGGTAAATAATTATGTTACATTGATTATTGTATCTAACGTCGAAGCATAAGTGGTGTAACATAAATGTTTAACACTAACAATTGTTTATCGTTAAGTTTTCCCAACATTCCAAAATATTCGGAAGTAGATGGAATTCCAGAATACCCAGGAAATCTCATCTTTTGTATAAAAAAAAAAAAAATTGTTTCATTTATCTTTTATATAATCTACTGTCATACATATATTTTTATTATACGTTTATATTAAAGTTCATAAAAAACAAAATAATACTAATTTTATCTTTCCGTCGATGAAGATCGTTAGAAATTTATTTGCAATTATATTCGTTTCTCTGACTCCTGTTTTAAGCGCTGTAAATAAAATTTGAAGTGTTACGCGACTTACACCACTTATGTTGTGGCATAATTTAATACATAACGCGAAGATTTGTTATTATAAAATGCAGGAAACAATTGCGTTTAACGAAATAATATATTCCGTGCAGACAATTCTTTTATATAAAGAAAAAAAAACAACAATTGAAACGATTACGTGTTCATGATATGTCCAAGATAGTTCGCTTTACCGTTTTAAATATCACTCTTGTCTTTTATATCGTTTTTAGACGAGTTTTACAATACTTTGTTCAAATATTTCATTCCCCGATGTTGAAAAAACTTTATAGAATAAAATATTTATTCGTAGCGAATGGTTGCACGCACATGCGGAAATTATAAACAAACGTAGTTCAAATACGATTTAATTGAGGCATAAGTTCATGTTTTAAATACGCCTAATTAATTATATTGCGCTTCGTCGTTGCAATGATATATTTACTATATATAGCAAATACACTTATACATTTATCGTGGCATTGAAGACAAGAGAGATGTTTCAGGGAATACAGTTAAGCAAGTCCATGTTGCAGTATATATTTACCATGCGTTTTTGTCGATAATTTAGTATGCAATTACAATCAGTGCTTAAGCAATCAAATACCGAACGAAATGTTTAATCAAATTGCGTGACTTGGTTAAAAGTGTCTACTAGCGTTGCTCATACAGATTGGTAGATTTTATGAAGGGAAAAGTGTATAAAAGCAAATGTCTTCCTCGTGTTTGCAACTAAACAATATACCGTTAGAAGATGTTCAGTGCCCGTGGGATCATCGCGTAAATGCAAACGATTTATTCTCATACTGTTACTATCACTAGAATCTTTCTCGTTGCTTAATTTGAGTTACTGATGTTCGTAATTAGTCGTGTTCGTTTGTAACTTTGTTACACAGTGTACAGTATTCCGTAACAGGACGCCTCTTTATAAACTTACGTACGACTTGAAACCTAAGTTCTTTTCTTTTTGTTTTATTTCTCTGTACAATAATTATTGAGAACGAATTATCAGTGTATCTCTAAATTTTGGATCGAGGTACCGGAAAAGCTTGTGCTTTCTAAACATTAAGAATAACTTTCCGGAAAATGTGTAATGGTGTGATATAGATTACTAGAGATATATGTGTATATTCAAAGGTATATTGGTAATATAGCCAGGGAATATCTTATAATAAATTGCACCTAGACATGAATGTTTATTTTACAAGTTAGTCGACACTATGCACAATTAATTATACAGGGGTGCCGTTAAATTATATCTCACGAGCACCATGGATGGAGATTTTAGTAACACCCTGTAGAGAAGTACTAATTCTTTCAATTGTTTATTATTCTAATATTTTATGATAATTCGTTGCACACTTCCCGGATATATTACTAACCCTTTATCTTCGATATACATATACGGTATTAATTTGTTCATTCTGTAAAGCATCCGTTCGCCGTTATCGATAATCTATTTCAATAATGTCATAAATACACTGCAACGTTACCTGGCAAATTTTTCTATCGTTACAAAGACAATAATTTCGTTTGTAGCGTCGACTATGCAATTCGAGCAAAGAAAAAAAAAGAATGTGCAACTCGCATTGGCTAAACGCGATAGGGAAAATACATTTACACCGACAACAAAACGACTCGAGAATATTAGACAAAGAGAAAGGAATATAATTATACATAATCCTTGGCAGACCAACTATTAAGAAACATAAAGTTTTAGGATGGGAACCGCAGGAACACAGAAACATCTTAGATGGAAATTTTACATATCCGTGTTCTTATGACCACGAAATTCTAAATACAACCCTCGATAGAGTTTTGTTGGATATAGTGCATAGCTGAAATATTTAATTCTTATTGGATCTCAATGTGCATATATACCGCGTGTGATCGCCGAGGGATTGATCATTTACATGTTCTCGATCAATTCTCTCGCGCACACGGCGTAGATTTCTCTAGCAGTAGGACAATTAGTACAGCGATAACATGTACCTGTCCATATCGACCAGACCAAGTGTCTTTGCCTCTACTTACAAACGGAGAATGCAAAACTGTCAAGATGAATTTCTTCAATGACTTTTTAACACGTTAAACGCCGCGTGGATATACTTTGAAAATGCAACGATGAGACTTTTATAGCAATAAATATTCTACTATCTTCTCTAACAATAAGTACATGGGTTGCCCTTGCGATGGAGCACTGGCGGTTGACAAGAAGAAGGCTAACGACTGCTCCCATCCCCACTCTAACTTAGAGTCTACCAGTTCACCTACTGCCTCACGAATTGTCATTAATGACGCACTGTAAGTAGGGGAGCTATCAGAGTGGGGATGTGAATACTCGTTGGCCTTCTTCTCACAGACAGCAATACCTAAATATCAAACTATTAATTTTAACATCCAACTCGCCAGAATTTTATAGAGAATTCAAAATATATTCGAAGAATCATTGTCATATCCATTTTGTAACGATATTCTTTTACTTTTACGAGAAACAAAGTATACTATATTGAGCTAACTCGGTACAAATGAGCTGCAGCACCACGATGAGTGCTCGCAGCTTGTTGCGTCGGCTAGATGAACTTATAATTAATTAGCTCGGCGTTTAACGTGTTAATAAGGTTCGTGTTAAAAGAATTCAGCTTGTTGGAGTTGCAGGATAATATTTCTGAATGCTATGGGTTTAGAAATAACATTCTGCAACGCTCTCGGTTTTGTATTCGCTTTGATTTCGATTTCAATAGTGTTTCTTTTTATAAAACGAGATGATAAACAAATGATTTATATTTATTTAACCCTGAGAGCGACAGTGATGAAAATATACTTAAAATTCTTTAATAGTTAAAATTACATATTTTGCTAACTTCTTTTTATCTTGTGTACAATGTTTTCTCTTCGTTTTCAGAAGTTATGATTCTATTATTATCTTTCTTTAATTGCTGTTGTTTGAAGTTTGTACAGAAGGTTGTTGCTTTCAGGGTTCAAATGAACCACAACTCACAGGTGCTGTTTCATTATTGTTAAGTTAAAATAGCAACACCGGTTCAATGTTTGTCAGCTATGTATTATGTTTTCCATGGGAGTGCAAATGTGTAACAGAAAGAATATTTTAAGAGGCAAGTACGTATTGTAAGAATGATGAAACGATTTAGAGAGAACGAGACAGAGATACGCAACGGAAAAGAGATATATAGGAAAATCTAAATATAAATATATATATTTAATAAAATTCTTTAACGAAGAAATGTAAGTTCAAAGATGGTGTGTAAATTAGCGCGGACAACAGTACCGAGATTTCGTTGATTTACGCCGTTTTAAGGGAGAACTATAATAAATTGTCAATATGTCAATAGCACGTTATTAACCAAAGCTTTAGCTGCGAATAAGAGCGACGATTAATGAAATTATTCTTACAAGTGGAAGCGTAGAAGAGGCGCGTCGTTGTCGCATAAATTAATTCTAGGTTTAAGGAGCTTCTCGGTGAGATGCTGTAAAGGAAAATAAATTAATCACTCGGTTTATCTGTTCACATCAGTATTTTCCAACTACTCTGACATGGAGCAGGACGAAATCTGAAAATAAGTTCTTTAAACGTTGGATTAACTTCGGGACTTCCTGCAAAAAATTTAGGCATCTAGAATCGTTGATGTTCCGATTAGTTTAATATTTTTTATAGGTCCTGCGTGGAGCCTATGTTGGAAAACACTGGTTTTGCCCGTTTCGTTGCGACAAATTTATTAATGTTAATTAGCCTTTCGTGAAACAATGGACCAGCGTGTTCGTAACGAATGAAATTTTACCCTTCTTTTCTTCTGCGTTATGCGACACTTCGTTACTTGAACCAAGCGTAGAGAGGATCAATCCTGTGTACAACATCTCAGAGAACGTAGAAACTCTGTAAACGAGACGAATCTTAATTTATTCTTTATATTTATATTCATAACCGAAAACGAACGAAGTATCGAACGATACTTCGTCGTAGGAGAATAGACTCTAATCCAAAATAATAACGCGGTTAAGTGTATTATAGTTGCTACGGTTGTATATAATGTGTATAACGGATGATCGTTTTTCAGTTCACCGAGCTTCTCGCCCGTTTTAGTCAATCTTTCTTTTTATATAAATACAGTATTGCGAAGCTAATTTATGAACATTTATGTATCATTTACGTGTATCTGTAAGCACGACTAGCCAAACCTCTGTAAATAGACACTCTCGTAATAAACCTACCTGAAGCAACGTTTTGATATTACCTTTCGATCCCTTATTCCTTCTTCCAATATGGCGTCTTCTCTTCTCACTGCACATTCACTATATGTACCAATACACATGCTACCGAGACACCATAAGTACAACACTTGCAGCAGTGGTTTCCAAAATGTTTAGAAGACGCTCCTTATATTACAATTTAATTATAAATGGAGAAATACACCTCACTTAAACGTCTCTTCTCATAGGGTCCCTATTTTAGAAAACACTGCTTTACATACTTAGTCTAGAATATAAATTGAAAGACCAAGATGTAATAGAAGTGCTAAAACAAGTTTTCCCATAACTGTTATCAAAGAAGTGTGAAACCTACAAACATGGAAGTTCTGACAATAATTGAATTGATTTATTACAACAATACTAACTCCTCCGCATAATGCAATTGCAAATAAACCACGTATTCATTTGCATTATGTGTTCATTACTGTCTACATACTGTTAAATATACCATGAGTGTTCTTTTTATATAATTAGATAATAGTTAACCCGTTAGGTTCAATGAATAAATAAAAAATAAAAATTTTCTCTCCTATTTGAATAAGTTTTGTTTATTATTCGGAAACAAAATAATAATTCGAATCCTAACGAGTTACTGTACGTTTATCGACATATCGATAATCGATTTACATCAGCTTGACCAACAACGTTAAAATTAAGAGAATTTCCATTGTAAAACTTTGTTAACAATACAGGGTTATTAATAATCGTTATCGTATTAATTGTTTGACACTTTCGATTTACAGGAAATTGAACAAACGAATGTTTAAAAGTTTTCCCTGGACGTGCATTAAAGACTCCTTTCAATTACCCTGTATCATTTGTATGAAATTTACGTATGACACGGATTAAATACGGCATACGTTAATTGAAATTATCACTTACAACATTTTTCTATTTACCGCTAGTTTACATGATATGACAAATTTATACGGCAGTATTTGTTTCAATGTTGTACAATCTATATGTACTTCAACACTAGAACTTCATGTTTGCATGGGAAACAGTTCATGCAAGGCACAAATAATATAAAGGGAAACGTAATGTGTACATAACAATTGTTTTATATTTTTTTTTTTTTAATCAGACCATTCAACAAAAATACTGTCTTCAAAAATTACGTACAAAATACAAAACATTCCCTCTTACAATGTAAAAAAAAAAAATTCATTATGCACATATTATGCCTTCCATTACAGTATCTGAGTTTCATCTAGATCAATGTTACTCTCTATGTACCCTTATTTCGAACAACCCTCGAATGGGAATCATCTTCCATCTTCGCTTTCGCCTTCCGCTGTATTAATAAAATATAATCTCAAACATTGTACTTTACAGATCACTGAAAGACAAATTTCATTGGCTGAGCCACACCTCTAGCGAGTATTATTGATCCGGAGATTGATCTTAACCCTTTCAAGATGTGTACCTTTTTCCACCATTTTAGAATCATCTTGCATAACCCCAACAGGCATAGATCATACTATAGCTACAAAAAAATACCATCAGGGGTCACTTTGTGCAACCAGGAGTTGGACTGGACACGTATTTTTGAACATCTCTTCATTGTTATTGTATACAGGTATCTTGTTTTAGTTAGGTCTCATTTCTAATGGATACTTGTCAATTCATTGCACATTTTGAGGTTAATCTGACAACTGTGGTATCAAGCAAGCTAAACACTTATCAACAATTGTTGAAAAGGGATCAATTTGGAAATGTGTTGACACAAACTAGCCCCGACTAATTTCAAAAGGATTAAGAACGCCAACAAACGTGAAATTCATGCGTTCTAGATTCAATTTCGCAGGATTTGTACACTTTCATTGGCATAAATTACGTTTCAACGTGCCCCTGCAACTGGCCCACGATTTTCCTCACCCAGCCAGCTTGGCTCTGTCCTGCAGACACATCGTCCCTCTCCTCTCCACTGTTCTCTCCACAGTTACCCTGCAAACTACTCTTGGGATACTGATAGGTCTCGCATTCTGTCACAGGTGACTTCTTGTAAACCTTAGAGTCCGACTCCTGTTGTTCCTTCAACAGCACAGACTTAATCTTCAAATAGTCAGGCTTCTGGGCCACGCTGGGCTTGCACTTTGTCGTCGCACTGTACGCAGGGGGATTCACCGATACGCTCGACTCTGTTCTCTTCTTCGCGGGTATCGGCGGAGCGACTTTGCTCTTGAAAGGCTCCTCCGTGCAGTGATTCGAGAATGGCCTGGTCACGAGTACCTCCTCTATGTCGCTGAATATTGCACTATCCCGAAACGCGTCGTCTACGTCCGCGTCCACGTAATTCTCGATCGTCTCGAACGACTTCTCGTAGAAGCTATCCGTCTCGCTCTCCCGGTTCTCCGGGCTCTCCTCGTCGTCCTTCTTCTCTTGGTCGGCTTTGGTCACGCTGTTTGCCAGTTGGCCGAGCCGTTTGGTCTCGGAGAACAGTATCGTAGGGTCCGCGTAGTCGGACTGAGCGATACGAGCGCCCAGGCTCGAGCTCCCTTGCTTGTAATAAAGCGATGGGACCCTCGAGTCCGATGCTCTGGCAGCGCAGCCAACGAGCTCCTCCACGTCGGACGAAGACTCCCTGGAGTGCTTCAGTTTGCCTTTTCTCTTCAACTTACCTGCGCTCAACGAGCTGAAGTACTTGGTCCGTTCGAGCTCCTCGCTGCACTCCAGGGTCTCCGTGCTCATCGTATTCCTCAAGACCTGCAGACGATTGCCAGCCCTCGAGAGGACGTTCTTGAATATGGTGGCGCTACCGGTCGCGTTGGCCCTGTAAATTTTATGGTCAGGATGTATGTTGGCGGTCGTGGAGGACACGTGAAGCTCGGAATAGGCGTCCGTCAGCGTGTCGTCCAGGGAACAGAAGAACGTCGAGGTGGACGTTGAAACGGACGTGGGGAACTTGGCGATCCTGCCCTGCGGCTGACACGTCGAGGCATATCTCTCCATGTCCTCCAGATTGATCTCCGCCGGCTTGTCCGAGGCTATCGTGAAAGGCCTTTCGCTCATCGGTTTCCCGTCCCTCTGTAAGAACCGCGATTTGGTCACGTTTTGCGTCGAGTTAGGATTGATCTGAAAACTGCGCGGAAGGGAGCCACACTTTTGAGGAGACGTTGGTAGTCCCTCGCAGCGTTTCGTTAACCAGACCGCCGGACGAATCGGACTGTCGTTACCGTCCAAGTCCTTCTCCTCCTGCAAACCCTCCCAAACGTGCTGCAAATTGTCATAGTTGCCAAACCCTTTGCTGGGTTCTGTCGCTTCCTGAACATTGTTCGCGGCTGTCTCCTTGTCGTTCACTACGATTTCAACGTCAGGCTCCTTCTCGACAGGCGTTGGAGTCACCTCCTCGCTTCTGGACGTCGAATTTTCCCTTATCCTCAGCGCAGTCTTGATCACCTTGCTCTCCGTCACGATGCTCTGCCTTTTGAACGCCTCGAACAGAGCCTTCTTCTCCTGGACACGATTGATCTTGTTCTTCAGGCTGCTCTCCGCTAGTTTGTTGTTCTCTGCTTTGTTCAGGTTGTCGTAGAACACCTGCAACGTGGGCTGATGGTCCCGCGACGAGGACAACGAGTTCCAGGTGTTGTTCGTTCTGACCAGTCGGTCGCGTTGCGCCGCCCTGAGACGCGCCAACCTGTTGTTGTTGGAGTTGTCGGTGATGTAATTGGTATTCTCGGAGTCGCTGTCGTCGGACGTGTCAGCTGACCGGTGCTTGTTGAAACGTTGCTGCTGCCTGACGTTCAGTATGCTGTTCGTTCGTTGTTTCTCGAGCAGCTTTTGGAATTCCTGGTTCTGCATAAGTATGTGGCCAACTATCTCTTCGACGGTCTGCGCTTGGGTCTGTTGCTCGGTGTTCTCTTTGGTTTCAGGCGGCGGAGAGTTCGACGATTGCTTGTCGTTCTCGATAATTGCGCACTCGGTCTCGACCGTGGCCGACCCGGTGTCGCCTGTGTCCTCCTTTTGCTCCTCGTCGGATTGATTCAGGCACACGTAAGATTGAAAGCCCGGCTCTGACTTCCGTCTCCAACCGGTGAAGCGATCCTAAAGGAGAAACAACCATCAAAACCGTTTGGTAACAGAACAACCTTCTTTCAAGATGTTTTGATGTATGACCACAGACAAAGTATAATTTTTTTCTTGAAAGTGAGTAGGATTTCGGGGGTATGTGTATTGACCAAAAATGATTGTAATTGACCTCCGCAACCGAAAATAATTTTTCCAGACTTATTTGAAATTTTTAAATTTTGTTATATAAGGTGTCTACTTGTATACCTCGTCTGTAGTATGACACCCAGTGAAAAGGATAACGTGGGTAAAACTCTTTTGCTTTAATACCTTGACTTTTGACCCACGTCCTTCTGAAACTCTAATACCCTGTTCCCTAGAATCATTTATGGCAGCATCCTCGCTCTGATTCTTTCTTGGCGATGCTGGAGAATCCTAAACAAAACATGGATGAAATCAAGAGAGCTAAGAGAAGGAGTGTAAAATTTATATAGTATGTTCCTCTACCTCGGTTGTAGTCTCAGACTTTCTGGCACCTTTTTTAAACTTCTGCCTAAGCCCAGTTTCAGACCTTCGTCTCTCCCTCTCTTGTTTACGCTTCTCTAAATATTCCGGCGGCGCGGAATATTGCTTCTTCCCCGATCCTTTGTCCGCGAGGGCATCGTCTGCGGATATTTGATAATCGCGATACAAGTAATGTCGATCAATTAACGGAGTTTCGTGATTAAATGTATAATTTACCTTCGGGTTGCGTCTGGCCAAGTTGCAAGACCAACTGTCTCGCGTGGGAAGGTATAACCGCGTTGTAATTCTCAAGTATCACCCTCTTTATTTGCAACGTCCATTCCCTCTTCTGTTCTAAGTTCCTTGCCTGATTCGAATAAAAACAAGGGAACGTTGAACACAAAAACGGTTCGATTTCAAAGAATGGACAAAGAAACTGTACGTATTTTACCTGTAAGGTGTATTGCAGTCGGGGATTGTCAAAAGGAATAACATGGAAACTGAGTGGTTCTCCTGGTATGCTTTCGATGAGCATTAAGTTTGAACACTATGAACACACAATTACAAAAACTTTTAGTAGCATTTACTTTGAACAATAGAAGTTTTATAACTTGTTAGATTGGGGATGCAACTGAAAATGTAGGTTATACCAAAGTGTGAGTCATGCAGACTAGTCTTATAGATTGATACAGAATGGATCAAGGATAGAACAGTGAATATGGGGATTATACCATGATATGAGCCTTGTAGACTAGAAGCCCATCCTCCTTCTTTTTGGTGAGAAGAAGCATACGATCGAACAAGAAAGCGTGCCTGGGGGCTTTCGCCCCTCGCATTCTAAATCGTCCTTCCGCCACTAGTTCGCCACTTGTGGTTAAGTCAGGGCCAGGCCAACCGTACAGAAGCGATTGAATCTCTTGAACACGCACGGCGTGCTCGTGTCTTCGTTTCATCGCGTTAATATGCTTCGCAATGCCAGTCATCGCTACTAGCGCTGCTTCAATCGCCTTCCTCCCTTCAGCCTCATTTTCTCTTAATTCACAGTCCGCCCCATACTCCTTGGACAAGTTCTGCGAATTAGACAGTTCAGCACATGAGACGTTAATCTTCTTCGCGACTGCTGAAGAAAGAAGATCGGCACTTATGTCGAAAACTAAGTTTAACTTTCATTTTTTTTTGCATCGTATTTAGCTTGGAACGAGACGGAATCAAATACAGAACTTGCCTCTAGAAGCAAATGGTACTTAAGGATCCTTTGAACGGGTTTCAGAAGAAACGATCCAAGAGGTAACGCGTGCCCCAAAGCTGCTTGCCTCTCTCGAAATGCATTTGCAGTTTCTTCTTGACTCATTAAATCGGTCAAAACGGACACTGTCCTGTAATTAACAGCATTAATTTCGAGCCAACGTGTAGAGAACTAGGGATTAAATCTAGGCCCCTTAAGTATCTTTTGATCTTCGTATTGATCACTTTTTAATACAAAGATTCAGCGATTTACCTTGGGTAATTGGTGCAATACTCTGTGTACACTTTGAATCCTGAGTTGTGCTTTATAAACGTGTTTGCCATGCAAACAGGATCCAAGCCACATTTCTCTATTTCTTTAAGGAACTCTCTGAAATCAAATTTCACGCATGCAACATACATAAACTCAGTACTCCGGTCAACTTGATTTTTATTTTAGTTGGCGTTCTTTGTTTACTATTGTTTAGAAAACACGAAGACTATTATTACCTGTTGAATTCGAAGATATCCTCAATATTACTAAATAAGTCGCTTAGTTGCATTCCATGCGCAAACGATGCCGGATCGTTTCTCCAACATATAAGGTAACCCTGCACACAGATTTAGTTTTAAGTTTCATAGTCGTAACGCGCGATGTAGCGCGAATAGGAAGCAAGACACACCTGGATAATTTGTCGCAGGTGCTCCACATATATCGCTTCGGTGTCGACTATTTCGAGGAGCACCCTTTCCATGGGATTTCGATGGGGATCGCAGTAACGTGGTCTGTAGAACGGGGAATCCTTCTCCGCGCTGTTTCGTCGTTGACCACCGCCATCGTTTCCGATTCGACAGTTCGTTTCTGAGACCGTCACCACTCCGCTGTCTCCAGAACCTATTTCATCACGAAATTGAACATTAGCTGACCAACTACAGATTAATCATAATTCAACAAGGAACGTGAACCCGACTAGTCAATAGTCGCTTCAGCCAGCGCAGTTAATGCAAGAAAAATTGATAAATGTATCAGACTATGATGAATTGTTGTGAACAGGATGAAGTATAATCCTGACTCAACTGCACGAGGATGGAAATTGATAAAATATCTCTGTTACCACTTCCTTTGGGACACAATCGGGCAGTTACGGATGACTAGGGGCTCGTGGTGCAATCTGACTAAGCCTAAACGATAAAAATATATTGCTATACCGGTGCACGGATCATTCCCGATGGATTCCGGGCACGTATTTGTACGGCTATGAGCAAACTAGACTGGTTTCGTCAGCCTTTATGGCTTTCGCGCGGGTAACGATTGTGCTCCAAAGCTTGAAATATTTTAGAAATCTGTTTCCCAATGTATCGGTCGACGGAGATTCCAAGGACTCCGACTTTCTCTCCGCTGTAGCGTAATAACCAGCAATGACAGTAATGATAGCAGTGGCAATAAAGTTCTCTCTCGGCGTTCCGTGATCATCGAGGAAAACGTCGGCTACGCGGCCTGAATTGCTACTGGCACGAGAAAATGCGTGCATTTCGAAGACTATAAAAGACCACCGCTGATCACACGTTTCGGCGCAAAAATTGTTTTATACGAGGAGCCGTTTCGCTTTCGTTCCAGTACCGTTCCTCGCCATGCTTTTCGCAATTCGAAAAACGAAACCTCACGGAGGTCCGAAAGAAACTTAGTTGGTTCTTGCAAACTAATGTTGGAAGTTAATTCTGTTTCTGGACTTGGATCTTTTTGTAATTTGTTCCTCTGCAACACGAGAGGCGGAGTTATGAGTCAATGGGCGGAGTTATATCTGCTTGGTGATATGGTGGGGGACGGTCAGCGTGACCTTCAGTGGCCGATACAGTCTGCAGCGACTGTTGCGGAGTTACTAAGCGTCTGAAATGCAATTTTCGCCTGAAAAGGAGCTCTCACCTTGGGAACTGGCGCAAGTATCGGCCAGAGACTCGACCGACGCCAAATAAGGATTGACGTTGCACGCGTTCCCTTGATTGCTGCATCCACTGGAGGAGGTGCTGGACGCCACGGAGCTTCCAGAGAGTGGTCTACCGGCATTTCTGCACCGTCTGTTGTACCTTAACGGAGTGAGTCCGTTGCTCTCTCGACGATAAGGCTTCTCCACGATCGCACAGTCGTTTCGATCTTCCTGCTGGCTGGCCACTGTCTCGTAAATGTTGTCCTCCTTCTCCCGGGCGATGTCATCGGCCACGCCATCCACGTTGTTCTCGGTTCCCGGCTGGTCGTTCATCGCGTCCTCTGGCTGGCTTTTCGTGATCTCGGGACAGAACTGACCGAATATGGAGTCCCGATGGGATTGGGACACCAGGCTCAATCGTTTCTGAAGCACCGTCGGGAGAACTACATGATCGCTGTAACCATTACCGCGACGCGCGAGCTCGTCGAACATCCCCAGTACTTGTGGCACCAGGTCCGTGCTGGATCCTGCAACGAAAACCATCGCACAGTCAGAGGAATCGCTTACCAAAATCTGCGTGACCCGTTTACACGATAAAACGATCCGAATGGTTATATCTAAGCGTTTTTAGTTCGCGATAGAAGCTTTCGACGTCTCGTTTAAGACACATTTGAAACAAACTTGCAGAGCTTGTATCTTCGACGGGGTCAAAAACTCCTAGCCCGTTGTCGAAAGAGAACGAAGAATTTCGTTTATTGCGAATATCGTGTTTCAGACAACGGCGCAGTCTGGGTTAGCAAACACCGCGTGCTTTTGCTCGTTCGGCCCGCGAAACATAACGATATTGTATAAACAAACGAGCAGGGTGATGGTTTCCAATTCCCGGCGAGGCAGACGTGAATCAACGTGCAATGAACTTGTCCGCACTAACACGCGCGAGCATCGATGCGTTATAGCATTTTGCATACTGAAACGGTATACAGGGCGATCTAAAAGGAAAGTATCGACTTATATTCGGTTCGCTCGAAAGGCTGGATTTCGATCTTTCGCGTTCTTCGGAACTTTATTGAGATTTCAAGTTGCCAATTGCACGTAAAAGGCAGTTCAAAAGATTTATCAGAGTATTTTTTACTTTCGAAGAAAACTTTCTAACGAATGGGTTCGACTTAAATTAATGAAGCACTCGTTAGATGCATCGGTACGATTATTTTATAGAAATTGGATGAATAATTCAAATCGTTTCTATTTGGAGTTTTGTGCACTGATAATTTTGTTCTGTTCTCGTGTTCTATAATAAGGACGAAAACAGTCAAGCATTCATCGCGCGTAGAAGCCCTCCGCAAAAGCCTTCTGGCCAGCGAGGGGAAGTTATTCTTTCGGGATTTGCAGCTGGCAGATACAAATGCAAACAACTCTCATAAAGAGCGGGCAAAGAAAGCAAAGTATATTTTTGCGCGACGAGATTTATCGAAGAACCAATTTGCTGTCGGTTATTTGTGCGCGTACGTATCGAACGTAAAAAGAGTCTCATTATAGCTAAGAGCGTATGCAAAACGCTTCCCTCCAAAGTGGTTGAACCGCGATATCCTAAACTATCGAGGAAACAGGGAAACTAGTTTAAAACAGGAAACGCTAACTGGGTTGACGAAGAACAGAGCAGGATTTTACAGTCCATTTGTTTGTGTGGCTTTCAGTTCTTTTCATTTTATGGGCAAAAGCGTTTGCTTCCGGAAAACTGTTTTGGCCCCTCTTCGCGTGAAGAGGTTCCTTCTGTTCTTTGCGATATTACCAATATACATCAAGATGCTTTCGACTGTTATGTTTTCTACTAATTTATACAGTATTTATTCTACGTTAAAAATTCAGTTAATTATTGTGTACACGCTAGTTCTTTTTCAAGGCAGAAATCAATTTCGTTACACAAATATATCTAGCACGTAGTTTTCCAAAAAATTTTGAGCTTACGTTTCTCAAAATTGACTGGCCATCTGCAGCTACAATTATGGTCGCGTTTATGATAGATACGGATCTACCATCCTACCAAATTTCATTTAAATCGGTGAGTATCGGTAGTCCAAATTTTTGAGCCTACTTTCTTTCGAAATTGACTGGCCATTTGCAGTTAGAATTATTGTTACGTTTCTAACAGATACGAATCTACCATCCTACCAAATTTCATTTAAATCGGTGAGTATCGGTAGTCCAAATTTTTGAGCCTACTTTCTTTCGAAATTGACTGGCCATTTGCAGTTAGAATTATTGTTACGTTTCTAACAGATACGAATCTACCATCCTACCAAATTTCATTTAAATCGGTGAGTATCGGTAGTCCAAATTTTTGAGCCTACTTTCTTTCGAAATTGACTGGCCATTTGCAGTTAGAATTATTGTTACGTTTCTAACAGATACGAATCTACCATCCTACCAAATTTCATGAAAATCGGTGAGTATTGGTAACCAAATTTTTGAGCATACTTTCTTCGAAATTGACTGGCCATTTGCAGTTAGAATTATTGTTACGTTTCTAACAGATACGAATCTACCATCCTACCAAATTTCATGAAAATCGGTGAGTATTGGTAACCAAATTTTTGAGCATACTTTCTTCGAAATTGACTGGCCATTTGCAGTTAGAATTATAGTTACGTTTCTAACAGATACGAATCTACCATCCTACCAAATTTTATTAAAATCGGTGAGTATCGGTAGTCCAAATTTTTGAGCCTACTTTCTTTCGAAATTGACTGGCCATTTGCAGTTAGAATTATTGTTACGTTTCTAACAGATACGAATCCACCATCCTACCAAATTTCATTTAAATCGGTATCACATCCGAGACTTTCACTGGAAGTCGAAATCGTTTGAAAATTTCAAGATTGCAATGTTACTGGTTTCTTTTTGTGGATAGTGAATTTATAATTGAGACGGTGTAAAACGTGCAAGCCGTAGAATAGAATGGCCAAACGAGACACCGTGCGTGATCTCGTGCCTCGAGACGGAGAGCAGACCATTTCTCTCTCCGCTCCTTTCCGCTTTGCTCCGCTTCGCTCGTTGCTGGCCATATGCGTTCCTCCCCGATCGCGATGTTGCACTTGGCTGGAACTCGGCTAATAATAGAACGGGACCAACTTTCGTCTCGGCCTCGCGTGCACCAGCTTCCTCCCGCTGTCACGTTAGGAGCCGATGACACGCTTCGGCTTTTCTCGCGACTCGAAACAACGCCGTCTCGTATTGGGTCATCTCCTAGATGATACGCCATTTTTTTCCAAAATCAATATCACCGTGACAGGATTAAGCATATCGCAAATAGCCAATCTATATCGGGTTGGACGAAAATGGAGGCGTACACGATTTTATTCCAACTATAGATCGCGAATAAAAACTTCGTACAATTTATTCGTGAATATTCTATTCGGTCGAACGATGCAATTTTAATTTTTATTTTATTTTAGTATATCAGCTATTCTGTTTTAGTAGTAATTATCATTTATTTTGAATTTAAAAGGAAAAATAATTATATCGTTGAGTCACTGATCTCTCCAATTTGTAAAGAAACTTCAAAGGCGTCGAATGCCGGTGGTTTTCGGTCCCAGTCGTGGGAAAAGTTGGAAATCGGCTCGCGCACAAGTGCATTGAACTTCACTGCCACGGTGAAGAACGGCCACGTTGACATTTACACTTTTTATCGTAAACGGGGCTCACTGTGCGTCTCTACAGGGTGTTCCCCAAGTGTTCTGCCACGTTTTCGAGAGGGTGTCCTATCCATCGTACGAAAAGTAGACCTGGGTTGGGTGTCCAGAGTCTCTGCTTCGAAGTACAAGTCAAATGTGCTATTATTATAATCGTTCAATCAAAATGGAAGGTATACTGAACAAAAAACTAGCTTTATAAATATATATGGAAGGTACAATTGACTAGCAACGTCAAAATTCTGAGAAAGGAGGATATTAAAACGGGCTACGCAACAAAAACCAAGATTGGATAATAACCCATCAACCTCAAAGATTGACAATGGTGACTGTCTTTATTGGGAGTCCATGGGGTACAGTACAACCTCGATAATTGCACGAAAATGGGCCTGACAACTCGTGCAATTAAAGTAACCACTCCAGTAAGAAGGAGTCCCACTTAAACAGCACATCTCCATTACCTGTGATAACTATTATCCGTTTCTTCCATCTCCAACTCCGCACGCTGCTAAGCGATCATACCCTCCACTTGTCAACACAGTGCAACAAGCAAGATTCTAAGGTATTGCCTCGTTAACCGAAGTGCGTCAACAACATCAATTTTGACGCACGCTATCGCCCGAGCATCACTTGGAATATACTCCTCCCGAAGTCAATCATCGCTCAACCGATCAAGTAAAACTCTATGGTGATCGATCATTCATGACAGGGAGCATGTATATCTCGAATGGATAGCCATGAGGCACATCGGTATCAGTAAGACACCTAATCCATTAATGAAGCTAGTAGTAGTCCTGGCGAGACGTACAGACGCTTTTCCATAAAAGCATTTGTGGAAGTCTCAAGAGTCTCAAGAGGTATCCACGGTAGGGACCTTAAATGATGAAACTCTTGAATGGAAATAGTTTTTCTAGGCCCTAATAGAGGCTCCAGATCTTTCTTTGTGATTACAATCACTTGGATACTATAGATTAACTCCAGGAGTACTCCGGGCGCCTCTGGAACACGAGGTTCTGGATTTGGAGTACTCTAGTTCTCTTATTGAGTAGTACCTTGTTAGGTTAAGGATTTATATAATCTATTAACTGACCTAACAATCCTCAGTTTGTGTCAGCATCGTTGTATACGCAATATCGAGCAATGGTCCTAGGGTAAGGAGTATCAAATGTCAACAGAAAGCTCTAGAGGCTAAAACCCTAGAACGAAACTAGTTCTCCAGGTCCTAATAGAGGCTCCAAATCCTCAATTAGCATTTCAATCGCTTTGAGACTACAGACCAGCTTGAGGAGCACATCTTCTAACCCAATAATCGTCAGTTCAGGTTACCATCGTTGGGCAGACTATGGTCAAGCAGTTTAATGTTCCATCACTCACGCCCACGGTACTCAGTCGATGCAATGGACCATTTCCCACAAAACTTTGCCCCTGAAACCACGTTCCATGACGTCGTAGGACCAATCGCGAGTCAGCTTCTCCGCAAAAAGGTCCTGTTGGAACACGGTTCGCGTCAGCGGTCCGCCGTGGATAATTAAGTAACCGTTTATCGTGGCGATTTACCCGGTTACACGGCAGTTACGAAACGATTATCTTGCCCGACACGGGCTCGAAGAGACGAGAGAAATAACCGCGGGTCAGTGAATCGTTCCCGGGAGGTCGTTTATTGGTAGCACACTTTCACGGACACTTAACTCCCCAGGTGGCTGTGGGTCGTGATTTTTGTTCGATCGGGTGTGTAATGTGCCGGGAGGTAGCCGGAACGGACACCTTTCGGGCGTCTTTAGCGCTCGGACGCGATCACGGACCTGTTGCCAGCGAAATTAATTCGAAACGATAGGCGG